TTGAGAGCTGACATCCGATTCTGAGTTAACGTACTCAACCGTTTCACATTTTTTCATCTTATCGTTACCAATTTTTTTTCCTTGGGGGAGATTCGATGGGATTGCCTTGGCTCCTGGTGTGTTTTCCTGATGGTTTGTATCCGTAGAGTTCCAGTGTGTTCTCCAGTTTGGAATAAGTCTCTTTGAGAATTTCGAGCTCCTTTACTGCCGTTTTTCTTTTTTGTTTTTCTTCTCTGTAGGCATTAACTGCCTGTTCAAACTAGTTTTGCATTTCCATGAGCTTATTTTCCATCTCCTTCTTTTTTTGTTCGAACTGTTTCTGCAGATCTAACCTTAGTGCTTCCGCGTAGGATTTCTTTTCTTCATTTAATTGTTTGATCTTCTCATCAAATTGTTGGGTTAATGCACTTTTAATGGAATCTGAATACGTGATTTTATTTTCGCTTTCCACTATTTTTCTAGCTTCCCAAAAGTTAATATTTCTGTCCACTTTCACTTTGGTGATAGCTACTTCTTTCTTGAATGCTGGGCACCCTTTGAAGAATGCTCCATGAGAATCACCACAGTTAACACATTTTTCTGCATTTTCACAGATTTCATGGAATGCCTCACCGCATTTGTTACACTTTTTTCACTGTTACAGTTTTTTTTTCCGATATGCCCAAACTTATAGCACACGAAGCACCTCAAAGGGTTCGGATACCACGGTCTTGTTTCCAACAGAATGTATCCAATTTTTACTTCTTTAGGTGGAACCGTACCCTTGACAGTGAGGAAAATAATTCCAGTGGGAGTTTTGTTCTCATTGCGTCCTTTCATAATCTGCCGAACTTCAGTTATTCCTATTTTCGGTAGGTCTTCGAGGAAGTCTTGGTCACTGTCAAACTTTATGTCCTGGCAAAAAAAAACCACTACTTTGCACGAGTTAGGAGTTTTGTGCTCGTACACTTTGGTGGAAATTCCTTGAGCCAGCTTTTCGATTTTAGCCAGGTTTCTGGCCTGGCTTTTACTTTTAACGTGGACGAAAATTTTCCCGTCTTTCGTTTTTTTTTGCGCTTGCCACTTCCCCGCAGTAAGCTTTAATTGTTTTATCGACGAGAATCGGAGACTCCGTGGAAGGATTTACCCTCCTCTCCCCTTTCCATAACTAAAATCTTTCCACCACCTCCACCAGAGGTTTCCCCCAGCCGGGGGAAACTAGAATTATTCATCTGGTAAATTTAAACCACTGCGTTAGGTGAACAAATTGCACACCGGGTTTATTGGCACTCGCGATTTGATGACTTATCACTTTGGCCGTTCGGCCGCGCGTGTAATGTGACACCACTCGAGGGTATTTAATTGAACACAAGCGAATTAAAAACAGCGACTGTACTGAACCGTGGTCAAGCTAATGATTGTAAAGCGTCAATTTCACGGAATTGCATCTGTAGTGGTGACTGCGGGTTGATGATAGCTGCTGGCATCCTCGATGGGTCGTTATCGGAACCAACAAATGGACCCTCATCCTCCGATTCCGGATATTTAGGAGCGGTGGGTTGTAGGGGCGAAATCCACATCACTAAACACAAACCGATTGAAAGGGATGATTCCAGTTTTACGGAAATCGTTAGTCGCTACTGACACAGTTGCAGCATAGAGGTAACTCTAAGACCACTGGGTCCCGAAGAAAATCATTATTATTTTTGGCTCACTCAGTACCAGAACAACGGTCCCAAGCAGTCCCAAGCTATTTCACTCACCCCTGCATGTTCTGCATGAATCCACACACCCCTGATGTTATCTGTCAAACTTTCATAGCGAACCAAAACAAACATAGTGTAGTAATAGAATTTCAACTAGAATAGGGTACGTTAATCGTTTGCTTGGGACCAATAGGCTACTAAAGTGGTGAGCCAATTTAAAATCGTTAGTTTCGTATTGATTGTTGGTTGCAGTGCGGATATACGCTTTTCCCAGCAAGTCACTCACATCGTTTAGAGTAACTACCTCTCCCGGTTTGTTTTTAAGGTTCTACAAAGGGTCATTATTTTGTTTACTTCTTCTTTTTGAAATATTCTTCAATCATCATTTTCTAAATGTATTGGTAAAATTCATTGGAAGTGCATGTCCCCACGCAAAAACTGCCCATGTTTCATAAATATCAACTGGTCTGGTGAGGAAAACTTAACCATCTCTTTTCTTCCTTCATTTCAATACAACAGCAAATGTGATGTCACACTATCTAGTGGATAAGAATGTAGCAGACAAAACATAAGCACTGCCAGACTGCGCTGTATGAAAGTTTGTTTACACCCCTGAGCGGGAAAGTGTATAACAGGCTACGTGCACTGCTGCCATCAACCCTGTTAGTGTTGAATTCAATCTTCTGTGACTTTTTTAATTGGACCGGTAAAATGTTTAAAATGGTCATTTATGTTTTATTTAATCAGTTTTTGATATTTATCCACCATTAAATACATCCACTCATCTATGTTAATAAGGCAGACTTCGTAATTAATTGTTTTAATAAACTTAAATTCATTGCTAGAGGCAATACATCTGGCACCGCTGTTTCAATGATACTTTCACGATTGCTAGCAAAGCAGTAAAGTAGAAATGGTTTTCTTTGTGATGAATTTTGTTCACCAAGGGTTTTGTGAAGCAGTTGTTTTGAGTTTCGTGTATTCGATTGCGTTTAAATGTGCTATACTTCGAAGAACACAAGTAAGTAAATACAGTGAATGTGTTTTACCCAGGAAATTTTCGATCTATGATCACGAAATACACGTTTTAAATTTTCGTATTCATAATATATGAATGTATGTGTAAACTAATGATGATGATTTTATGATATTTAAAAAAGAAGAAGAACACAAAATTACTTACCCTTTGTAGAACCTTAAGATAGTTTTCTATTGCCTGTGAAAAGTGGGTCTTTAATGGTTCCATAAAGCTCACATCGAGTGGCTAAAGTTTATGGGAGCAATGCGTCGGTAGACTAAGTACGGTGACGTGGCATTCACTCGCCCTATCGACGAATTCCAGATTCGTTGTGTGGCTGGAGTGGCCATCAAGAATCAGCAGCACCGGTTTATTTTCCGTCGGATTCGCGTGCTGAATGAAGTGCTCGAGCCATCTTAGTCGTCATCCAGCCGTTAGGATTACATGAAAATGTAGTTCCCGGAGGAGCGCCTACCTTTAACTTTTCGGTCATCCGAACCCTCGGAAAAATGATGAACGGTAGGATAAAATGGCCTGTAGCTGACATGCACATGCATACCGTACTAAGTACTCCACGGTCGGCAGAAGTAATGCAGCTCACCTGCCTTTTCCCCGCAGTGCCAAAACTTTGGAATTCTTAGTTTGAATCTGTTAATAAAAAAAAGATAATTTTGTTTACTCCCTGCTTCCAGTGCCAACAAATAATACCTACTGGGATGACAGATGTCTCATCGACATTGTATATCCTGTCTAGTGGAATATTATGTGTTAGTAGGATTCCTTCAAGAAGATCATAGAACCTCCCAACTGCAACGTGGTTAAAGCCTTGTGCTCTTGCGGCAGAGGTGGCTTCTGGTGCTGGCTGTGGGTGGCGCTTGCGGAAACCAGTCAACCAATCTATGCCGGCAAGTTGCTTGGTTTTATTGACCGGGTGAGGGATATCATTCCTTTCAACCAGATCGAACGCCAGCTTCCGGATTTCTCGGATAGTAATACCATAAAACCTTTGCTCCATAGACAGGATGTAATCCCCAAGCTCGTTCTCTTGCTTCACCAAAAAAACATTCGAAAACGACCCAAGCTGCTGGAGCTGCAAAGAATCCGCACGGTGTAAATAACGTTTCAACGTTTCTCGGGGGGACACTGCACTCTTCACTGTGGCCACTTTTTTTCGGCTCGATTTACGCGTAAAATTCCGCACCATGATTTACTGTCAACAATCTTTATATATTTTGACAGCAACATTTATAGGTTATGCTCAAAAAAACTGCTCGTATTGCCCCACGTAGGTATGCCCATTCGGTCCCTATGAAGTATGATCGAAACAAATGATTTCATTACTACTATAAATTAATAAAAAAAATCAATGTGATCATTCATAGCAATTATTCTGGGATAGTAATAGTGACCATGGACAGAACCACGGATCGACAAAATGCACTATATTGAATACACAGCTTATTTTGTTGACTGCAACTCTTATATCATTTAAGAGATGGTGTGCCAATTTATCGTTTCCATAATTATCTAAAGCATATAATTTAATTTTGATACGGTTTTCTTGGAGATACATATTAGAAGCATTTTCAACAAGTCTGTAAATAAAATAGCTTGAGCCAATAGGTGATATGCCCAAACGAATGGTGGCCCATTTCACCCCGTATGGACTTCTTACCACCATCTACTTTAGGATCACAAAATCATCGTTTGACATTTTCGACTTAGACCTTTTCCGCCACCGAAAAAAGTTCATTTTTTTATATGTTACTAAATTAGTCTCAATAATCAATTTCCACATGGGAAAACATGTCCCCGAACGATTTTGAAAAATAAGCCCCACCCTAGTGGGTCAATCTAATGGGTGATAAGGTTATACGTTCTAAATATCAACTTTTTAGCCCTTCGATATACAGCCAGCGTAATGTTCGACCAAATTGTAGAACAATTTATTTGAAACAGCTTTTCTATCTCAAATGGTTTACGATTCTTACTGATTTTTAATTAAGCTACTTATTGGGTGACCCTGAAAGCAACTGGTTTGCAACAGTAACTTTTTATACATTAATTTCTCGTAAAACATATTTTCTTGGCATTGTTTTTTTAATGTTTTGTCAAAGCAACTAAGGTGCTATTTCATTTTTTTTTTTTTTGAAAATGATCCACGACAACGACGACGAAGCAGATCGAAATCCCTCATTAGAGTATTGCTGTTCAACTTTTCATTTTCCTCAAATATTTTTAATTGAGAATTATCAGCACCGCGTGCAGTAAATCGGCTGAAAGTAGATCATAATTACCATTTTATCTCCTTCTCTTTATCCAGCAGGTATCGAATTTCCCTCAAGTCCAACAGAAACTCCTTATCCATTTCTGTGTCGTAGTACTCGGGCCCGGCATGTTGATAAGTGTACGTCCAATTTGTCATTATTGCCTTAAAAAAATAATTACAATCATCGTAAACTTCCCATAAGAATTACAAAAAAAAATCCTCCTACTTGTGAACACTCGTAGAAATCTTTAAAATTAAGATACTGCAGCTTGCGCTTCATCGTCTCGAACCGCAAACAGGCAATGAACACTATGGCGGCATACTTTTGCGCCAACTCATCGGACAGTATGAACAGCTGCTTGATGTTGGTAGCCGTATTCCCAGGCATCTCCTCGACGGCTTTGAATATTCGCTTCACATTGTCAAACTGCCGCCGGCAGGACTTGAGCCGGACGCCCGTCTTCTCGGCCACCTCGTCCAAGTCCTTCCGATTGCGGGCGTTGAACTTCTTGCCGAACAGCTCCCGGGCAACGGAGTCATCCAGGGAGTAGTACTTTTCTATCAGTAGCGAGCGGCTCTGCGGCTCCAGCTGGAATGATGGTTGCTCCGAGAGCTTCGATGGAGTGTGCAGAAGGCGCTCCAGCAGCGAATAGGTACGATAGTGATCCAGGACGTCCGAGGTGATCAGGTCCAGTGGAATGCCTGCCATCAGGTTGCCCTTTTGTTTCAGTAGGGTCACTGCTTCGGTGGCTATTGGGAGCAGGACGTTGGACGGTTAAGGTAGTAAACGATCTAGCTGAATTCTGAGAGATACCTACATGAATAACCTTCGATCCATAGTTGGTAAATTTCCGGGTCGACCAATGTGTAGTTACTTATAAAAACATCTACTTCGGCGAACATTTTCACAATTATTATTGGCCTTTTATCTACGTCATTCGTGGCAAATGGAAACGTCAAATTGTGACATTATTTACAAATAAGCTGCGGGAGAAAATGCAGGACTTGTGCGCATGCGCCTGGAGAGAAACATGTACCTTAAATGGAGATGAGCCTTAAAAATTACGGCCCGGGTATTTACAAGTTCAATTACATTTAGGTGACGAATTTTGATGATATAAATTTTTTCTAGCGCAGTCATTGTGTTTCAATTAATGCCCGCTCGAATGAAAACCAATGCAAAGTTTTGGTTGGCAGCGCTTTCTCGTGTTTTGCAATTGTAACTTCGAAGCTCACTCGCGACTCCGGACTATTAAATAAATTTTGTCCTCGCGCCACTATAGAATAAAAATATGTATGTTTCAATCCAAATTCTACTGTGAAGTGAAGTGGTTAACAATAAATGTATCCAAAATTTACACGAGCCCAAGTAGGGCTCTTAGCTCACAACAGGTTGCAGCAAGGGAAGTGAGACTATAATTATATATAGTATCATAAACGTTACCACCGCTGGTCAGAGACACCTGTCCCAATGGAATTTTATAATGTTTATGTAGTAAAAGGAAAAATGTTTGCATCATTTTTAACAAGTCTTAGTTCAATTTATCAACTCCTCAAGATTTGCAAACATTGTCACAGTACAATGAATCAAGTATTTTTACGTTCTTACAATTTAAATTTAAAGAACCACTCACCTTCGAACCGATGTAAACAGAGAGCCGACCACGTGACTATGCACTAGAGAGCGAGAGAACCAACGCACGTGTTTCAGAGTCAAACATCTTTCTCACTTCGCTTTCGCTCTCCGCACTCTATAGTCTCTCTGCTCTCCCTGAATCTCTCCAAAGAGCGCAGCGCCAGCTGCGGCGATCGCGTGCCATTTCAAACCGACCAGTTCATCCCGAAGATCATTCATCATTTCTTAACTCGCTGCTGATAACGTCGGACGTTTGTATAATTCGATCCGCTCCGTGCCGTGTAGCACCATAGCTGTGCGTGATTTAGTGATATCTCGGAATCCGAGCAGATTCAGTGAGTGTAAGTGCGGGAAACCTTTCCCTGTGCAGTGATCGTGATCGTGTTTATATCGGTGCTAAATCCAGCGACGGAATTATTGCTAAATAGTGAAATATTTCAACAACGCATGCGTTTCTTGCGCCACAATGACGCCATCTTGAAGTGTCCACTTCATCGATAACGGACATCCGTATTCTATCCGCTTTGAATCGTAGAAAACCCTGAAAATCATCTAATTCTACCGCAAATGCGGAACGTTTTAAATCCAATCATGCGAGTAAATTGGCTTATTCCAGTGCTTACAGTCGCGCAGTTTGCAATAATTAGCACTGCGACCAGTAACGCTCCTGATAACGATGAACTCTGGAAGCTGCTTCTCAAAGGAAAACTTGACCAGATCAAAACAAAACAGTCGATGGAGGCAGCATTTACTCAATCAGAACTGTCCATTAGCGGCAATATCAATTACGGTGAGGGTGATAAGACAACCACCGTCGAAGTCGAACCGGGCAATGAAGATGACGTTGAACAGCTGTTCTATGCGGGAGACTCGGCGGAGACGCCGAACGTGGGGAAGATCACGACTGACGAAGAAGACGACAACGCGACGATGTCCGCGTTGTTTAGTAGCGATTGGGAAAGCTTAATTGAGGCAGTTGGGGGAAACAACGACAACACTACTAGCATCAGCGGTGAACTGTTTGATGATAACGATGGAATGCAGGCAGATGGGACGGTGCTGGATGATGAAATCATTGATGTTTTGCGGAATAAGCCGGCGTCACGTGAAATGCTAGAGTTGCTCGGATTACTAAAGGAGAAAAACGAGACGCAGGAAATGAAGGCTAGACTACAGCAACTGCTTCGACCGATGTCCGAACGCATAGCCCATGGTTTGCCTAGCATATTGGAAGAGAAACCGGATGCTTCGAGCCCCAGCGAAGAAGTGATTTCCGTTGACCCAATTGAAGCAGAGTCATTGGTTTCGGATGGAGTTCTAACTCCATCAATCAGCAGTATCCTCATACCGAATATTCGGAAATCTTTGCCATTCATTCGCAGAGGCTACGAAGCTCCTGCCGATGGACAGCGTAGTCTGGTGATAGTATTCGATGCCACAGGATCAATGCTGGACGATCTACACCAACTACGGGACGGTGCCAAGCTGATCATCGATGAGATCACTCAGATGCAGAACAACCCGATCTACAACTACGTATTCGTGCCCTTCCGCGATCCGCAGGTTGGCCCTCGTCTCGTAACGCGCAACAAGGACGATCTTCATCAAGCCCTAGAAAATCTACAAATCTACGGAGGTGGTGATTGTCCGGAAGCCGCACTAGCTGCCATATCAGAAGCCATCGAGGCAGCATTGCCGAATTCGTTCGTTTACGTCTTTACCGACGCCACGGCCAAAGATTTTCAGCTTGATCAACGAGTTCTCCGACTGGTTCAACAGAAGCAAACACCGATCACTTTTCTGTTAACCGGTTTCTGCGACGGCAAAGACACTCCCGGACACAAAGTGATGAATGACATCGCAGCCGCTAGCAATGGGCAAGTTTACGACCTGCAGAAAGATCAAATTGAACATGTCCTGCTAGGGATCAAAGGGATGATGAACATTGATCACGTACCTCTCAAATCGGTAGATTCTAAGTCACCGGAAACTCACAATATCGACCTGAACGTCGACAGCACGTTGAAAGAATTCAGCGTAAGTGTAGCAGGTCACCGCCCAAGCATTGAAATAATTGATCCTCAACAGATTCCCTACCACAACACCAAAGCTGTCCTAGACCTCGAGAACATCAAGGTTGTCAACGTAGCCGGACCGTCCCCTGGGAAGTGGAACATCAAAGCCGGATCCAATTCGTCCCATTCCGTTCGCCTATCGGGAAACAGCGACGTCAAGTTCAAGTTCGGTTTCTCCAAAGCGAAACCCAGCTCCGTAGAATCTCTCTCCCATCAACCGGTACTCAATGCGGAGAACATACTAACCATTCAACCATCGCAACTGGATCTGGTAGACAACCTCTCCCATGTCACCGTAACCTCCCACGACTCCGATGGTCCCGGTGGTACGTCGTTCAAATTCAAACTTCCTCTAACCAAAACAACCCTAGACGACTCCACGCCAGTTTTCGTGACTTCAACATTTCAAGCACCAAGGCAGAGATTCAAGATATCCGTCTCAGGGAAGGACGCCACTGGAAACCCACTGGAACGTCTGATCTCTACTGCAATCCAAGCCGTGGGATTAAGCGCTCCAGAGCTTTCCCTGGACTTCGCGGACATCGATTTGCTTGAGGGTGACGACTTTGAGATAAATTGCCGTGCGGAATCGCTGGTACCCGTATTAATGCAGTGGAAGAAGTTCAATCGACAACTAGTGGAACAACATTTCGAGTAAGTCCCCCCAAGCGAAGAATCAAGTGATTCCTATAAACAATTGTCCAAGAGATGGCACTGTTTCCTTGGCAGGCATTGTTGAAATTCAGTATGGGAGAAGGGAGAAAATAAATTATTTCCAAAAATTACAACAGTAACCAAAAATTCACGAGGCTTATTTATGCCAAAGCCCCTCCTTTTTTTGCATACTCGGCAAAAAATATACTTTCTAAGCTCCACCCCAGGGAAATCCATATTGCGTTGGAGGTGAGGATGAGGTTTAGTAAGTTTATTTTGTGTCGAGTATTTCGAAAAAGGAGGAACTTCTAATGTTAATCTAAATCCATATATAGATATACCAGACATGTTTTGCAGTGTCAGGTACTCTATTTTGTATTTTTTTTAAGCACCGTCCTCTGTTAACAACTAGCAATTTATGCGTTCTTTCCTATAGATGCCGCCACAAACAACAGTAGCGGCATCTAATGTCCAAGAAGCGCAGAAGCCATTTGCAATAGGCTCATTGAAATTAAAACTCTTGTGTTATTCTCATCGCCAGCCAAACGGATACCCTGCGGCTGCAGCTAACGAACGTCACGACTAAGCATTCTGGGCGATACGCTTGTCGGGCAGCGAATAGCGTTGGTGAGCAAGAAATTCTGGCTGCAGTGCGAGTAAGGGCCCGACCGGAACCCGAAGTGAGTGTCTACCCCAAGGATATTGTAGCGTACGAGTCAGAAAGACTGATAGCCCTACGTTGCATTACGAAGAATGTCGATCCTGAAGCGCAGGTCGTTTGGAGTCACAATGGAAATAAGATTGATCGTGCCCTAGGTCAGGAATATCTTGAGTTGCACAACATAACATCGTCCAATGATGGAACGTACGAGTGTAGAGTGGAGTCCGATGGTAAAATTTTGTGGGATTCTACTCATCTGAGTGTAGAATATGCTCCAAAGGCACCAAGGACGCTAAAGGATACGATATCGGCAGCGTACGGTCAATCGTTGACGCTCGGCTGTGGGCTGAAAGCAAATCCCGAGCCAACGGTTTCGTGGAGCTATCGACCTTTGGATGAATCGGATGGAAGACGCCTCTCGGAAACTGGAACCAGTCTTGTGATACCGAACGTAGCTCCTGAAGTCGAGGGATTCTACATTTGCGAAGGGAAGAATCGTCATGGAACTGCAAGGAGAACGATACTCGTTCAAGGGGAGGCGAATGGTAAGTTGAGATTACAGCCGGTATTTAGCTAGTAACTGATAAGTGATTTTTTTGCAGAACCACCGAGGATTCCTAAGCCGGATGATAAAATATTATATTTTGAACCTGGAGCACGAGTAGTGTTGAACTGCTCCTGCGATCTCTGTCAACCGCTGAGTGAGTACATTTGGACAAGCGGTAAGCTGACGTTTGAAAGCAGTCCTTACGATGTCCAGGGTAACGCCCGTGTCAGTTTGAACGTTGATCAATCCCGCAATGCAGTTCTGTACCAGCTGACAATCGACAACTTTGGTCCAGCTGATCAAGGAAGCTACAGCTGTATTCTATCCAATGCGCACGGAGCCGATAGTTTTGTGATGCAAGCTCGCTTGATGGTAGCACCTCAGGTGGATGGAATATTGATCGACGATGAACTGCAAGAGTTGCAGTTAGTGGGACTAGAGGACTCTGTGCACCAATTGACTTGCGAAGCGACAGGGCTACCGGAACCCTCTCTCCAGTGGACACTGAATGGGAAAACCTTGCAAGAAGGTAACCGCTTCAGGCTGTTGAACGATAACAAAACCGTCTACCTGATGGACACATTTGGCGAAAGCTACACTGGAAACTACAAGTGCATTGCCACTAATCCCATTGGAGTATCCACCGGTGAAGTTTCACTGCGATACGGAAGTGCACCGGTATTCGTCGTTGTACCGATAAACAACATCTACGCAGAAGTTGGTCAACAGCTTTGGATGGACTGCCAAGTGGAGGGCATTCCCGAACCAGAACTGGTATGGTATTTCAACGATCAAATTCTCGAGAAGGATCAGCCCTACGGAATGACACTTGACGATTCCGGTATCTACAAATGTACGGCGACAAATGAGTTCGGACAGGTGTCGGCCAGCTCCACGGTTGTGGTTTACGGCAAACCGGAATTCGTCATCCACTCGAAAGAAGACGAAGCAATTGCCGTATCTAAAGAAGAAGACGTGTTTCTGGATTGTATAGCTTCAGGATTCCCCGAGGTAAGTTACAGAGAGAATGGGTTGATGATTTTATTCATGAGGTTCTTCAGCCCACCCTCAGTTGGGCATTTGAAGGTCAAACGACGGAAGAATTAAAGAATCTGGTAACAACCGCCACGGGACTGCAAATCTCCAATGTATCAACTTCGAATCAAGGTTCCTACATCTGCAACGTTGAGAATGCACAAGGGAGCATTCAGAAGGTGTACTACGTAGCTGTTAAAGGTTCGATTTGCCTATTTTCTATATGCTCTGTAAGTTTACGATACGAATTATTTTCAGAATCTCCGAGAATCACATCAACCATCCCAGATGACGTGGAGATCTTGCCTGGTCAAGACATTCAACTAGATTGCACGGGTTCTGGCAATCCTGAACCAAGACCTCGCTGGACCAAGAACGACATCCTACTTCAAGACACACTCAGCTTGAAGATCCATTACGATAGCAAATCAGGCGGAAACTACACCTGTACTTTAGAAAATGACCAAGGCTCAGATTCTCGCTCAACGCATGTTACCGTGCTCAATCCACCGAAGAAAGCAGACAATATGTCAGCCATGGAACCGATAATTGAAGCCAAAATCAGCACTCCGCTAACTTTGGTGTGTCCGTTCGACAACTACGACAGTCTTCTATGGCAGCTGAATCAACGCAATCTGGACAGCTATCTGGATCTGTCGGATGTTCGCCTTCTACAAAACATCCTCCAAATCGATAAGCTCCGTCAAGCTCACGAAGGAACATACACCTGTTTCGTGGAGAACCCAGCTGGACGCAACAATCACTCATTCGTGGTGGGAATTCTTTCTCCACCAGTGATTCAATCCGCTCACGACTACGTCGGTGACGATGATGAGAATGACTTCGAAGACGGCGATGAAGAATTGGCAACCGATGCAGAAGTCAGTATCCTCAGCGGAGAACAACTTCGGCTTGTGTGTCACGCAAGTGGGTCACCCCAACCATCGATTTCTTGGAGTAAGGACGACACCGTGATTATCAAGGGAAGCGAACTGGTTATCGAAAACGTAGATACCCATCATAATGGTTTATATACCTGTGTTGCGGAGAATGATCTTGGAAGTGCACGTAAGGTCTACCGTCTGGATGTGATGACTTCGCCAAGACACTGGGGAGAGGCAATCGATCATATTGAAGTGTTCAAGGACGAAGACTTGCAGCTGGAATGTTCCATGGAGGCCAATCCACCGGCCAGTATACAATGGATGAAGGATGAGTATGATTTGCGAATGAATGTTTGAATGTAGACTATGATACAGGAAACTTATCTTTCAGCGTCATTCTTGATGAGTTCGAAGAGGTGCTTGAGTTTGTTGAAATTCAGCCTCATGATTCGGGTGTCTACACGTGCGAAGCTGAGAACATCTTCGGAGCTGACGGGAAAAAGTTCCGAGTAACCGTGTACCGTGAGTTAATCCACTTGGTTCAGTAAGGCCAAATGAAATTTCCGATTGGCTCTTTCAGAACCCGCGGAGATCACATTCTTCCCGGAGAACTTAACCGTCACTGCCGGTACCTCAATGGACCTGAATTGTGAAGCCGTTGGAAGTCCTCTTCCAGTCGTTAGCATCATCCACAAGGGAGAAATCTTGGCAACAACGTCCGACCTTGACTACAGTTCGCTTACTTTCGACAAGTCCTACCGAGTAAAACCCAAGTCCTATGCCATCCAAACGCAACAATTTATGGCTACCAAACTGTCACCGTACGAAATTCAACTTACGCTTGCGCAACCCAGTGCTGCAGCCAACACGGCTGGAAAATATCTCTGTCTAGCGCAAAATGCCGTAGGTCATGACGAAAGATTTTCAAAAATTGAAGTTCTTGTACCACCCTATATCCAATTGAACAAACTAAAGATGGGTCCAAACTTCTCCATCCTGGAAGGACTACCGTTGTATCTCTACTGCCCAATCACGGGTCACCCGAAGCCGTCTCTCAGCTGGTACCGTAACTCCAAAACGATCAAGTTCAACGAGCAAATACTCTTCCTGACATCTACAACCCGTAAAGATCAGGGAAACTATACCTGTCTCGGTGAAAACTCCGTCGGAAAGCAGGAGCTTTCGTTCTCGGTGAGTATCCTCATTCCCCCGACAATGATCAACAGCGTAGTGTTCGGAGAGGACGAAGCAGCCGATCAACCGGCACAAGAAGAAATCTTCATTCTCAAAAGCGATAACGTTACACTGGATTGCGCCAGTCTAGGTAATCCGAAACCGAAAATCTTCTGGACCAAGGTGGTATATTTGGATGAGATGCTCAACGAACAGCTGCCCAACATGGAAACGGTTCTTGAATTGTACAACATCGAAGCTACTTCAACGTATTCTTGCTACGTTAACAATACAGCCGGATCGACGGAGAAGTTGTTCCACATCGTAGTACAGTCTCCACCGAGGTTCCAGGACATCGGATACGATTCCAAGCCGGTAGTATCGCTACATCATAGTTTAGATCTGAATTGTGAAGTGGTGGGCGATCCAGAAGCTGTCGTCACTTGGACGAAGGATGGCACTGTGGTTGACAGTCAACGGAAAGGGATATTCCTCGCTTCAAACGGACAAATTTTAAGAATCTCCGGCGCCCAGTCCGCAGATGCTGGGGAATACCAGTGCGTTGGCAGGAACTTGCACGGCCAAGTCAGTCGGGAGTTCTACGTAACGATCGATGGTAAGGTCTTTGTATTAGCATTTTGTGTTTTATAAATTACGTTCCAATGAATCTTTCAGTACCGGTCAGTTGGTCTCCATGGGGCGAGTGGAGCGGTTGTAGTGCCACTTGTGGAAAGGGAACTCAATTCCGGTCCCGTATCTGTTTGCTACTCAGTGGATCACCGGCACATGGAAATCAGTACAACTGCGTTGGGGAGAATGTTCAGGTTAAAAACTGCGAAATGCTTCCGTGTCCCATCAACGGAGGTTGGGGAACGTGGAGCAAATGGAGCAACTGTTCGTTGGATTGCCTTACCGAGTATACCGGGCTCAAGTCGATTCGCTACCGAAATCGAAAGTGTGACTCTCCAGCGCCATCGTTGGGCGGTAAATCTTGCGTCGGTGAAGAGTACGAGGAGGAAGTGTGCAGCGTGAAGTTCTGTTCCATCAACGGCGGATGGACTCCGTGGACGAACTGGACACCTTGCAGTGAGACCTGCGGTTTTGGGCGAACGCTTCGTTGGAGAAGCTGTGCCAACCCGGCGCCTCGTAACGGAGGTCTGCCTTGTCAGGGAGCAGAGAGTGAGATCAAAATCTGTAAGGAACGGGAATGTATCGTAGACGGTGGTTGGTCCGAATGGGGACCGTGGTCAAAGTGTAGCAAACAATGTGGAGCTGGAGTACGCAGTAGGAAGAGATCGTGCACTAATCCGGAACCCAAAAACGGAGGCAAACAGTGCAAGGACGAAAACATGGAGCTAGAGAAGTGTTCTCTCAAGTCTTGCAGGAACGATGCTCTTCTGAAAAATTATGAAAAGAAATCTTCCTATCAGCGAAACTACTCCCCACTTTTGACGTACGAATCCAAGTATCCAGTCGACGAAGATGAAGAATACGAAAACAGAAGCCCACCTGAAGAACCGCAGAAGTTCAAGGTGATTCGTAGCTTTGAGTTTGCCGAAGCCGCTCCGGTAGAGTACGTCGACGGGCCCGTTGAAGCAGATTTCGAAGATGACCTAGATGGTCATCACAAGATTACCGTTAGCTTGAAGAACACAGTTAATCTAACGCAAGACACGGCGGCCTACAATCTTAACTTTGGAGGTGTTAGCAACTCCGTGCAGGTCAACTGTGTAGCAGGAATGGCCTACAATAAGACGCTGGGTCAATGCGTAGATACGGACGAGTGCAAAAGCGGTCATCATGGCTGTACCTTGCCGGGACAGATTTGTGTGAACACCAAGGGAGCCTATGAGTGCGCATGCGCTCTCGGTTATCGAATTTACGCAGATGGTTGCGTGGATATTAACGAATGCCGTGAAGGCAGTCACGAGTGTTCGCACTTCTGCGAAAACACTCCTGGTGGACACAGCTGCTACTGTCCGGCAGGGTTCCTACTGTCCATTGATGAACGAACCTGCACCAGACGAAAGACCAGAGAAGAACCGGCGTTCAGTGTGATGAATTACGTGATGATCTGCCCGGAAGGATACCAGTTGGAAGGAAGCAAGTGTATTGGTAAGGCTTTAGGGATACTCTCCAGTTAACGGTTTTGATAAGAGTTTCTTGTTCATATAGACATAGATGAATGCCACTTGAAGGAAGACGAATGCAACAATGGTCAGTCTTGCCTGAATACAAAGGGTTCCTACTTGTGTGTCCCGACCGGTTGTCCCGAAGAATACGAAGAAGACGAGCAATTTGGGTAATGATTGTTATCAATTCAGTAGTGAATCGATTAATGCAGCAATTTTCTTCCAGCCAATGCTACCAGGACTGCCGTTACGGATCATCCGGTTCCGGTATATGCCCAGATGGAGCGCTCATCGAGCAAACACTTACATTTAGGGTGATTTCGTTGAAAAAATACTCTCACAAGCAGCCCATAGCCATCCTGTCGATCCCAGCATTCCAGCATGACAGGACAGAAGCTTCGTTCAGTTTGCTGGAGCGAACCTACGAGCATGTTTTCAGACTGGACAAGACACCGCAATCGTCCGGTGCGGTTTACCTGTACGGGAACAAGAAATTCCAACGGGGTAAGATCTACAAACTGAAGGTGGTTGCCCGCGCGTTTGGCATGGAATCCGGCGTCATGGACTATGCCCACAGGTTTGTGGTGTATGTGTACTGTGTAGATTGAGGTTAGAGTTTAGATTGGAATTTTTAGGTTAGTTTTAAGGTGTACGGTTATATGCTACGTTTTTATCTTGATGGTAGTGTAGTTTGTATAAATGTTCGTATAGTTTGTTTAAATTCTACAAATTGACAATGCATTTTTTAACCAAAAGAAACTTTCCATGGTTTGATTGTCGTATTATTTTGATTTTCGATGGTATTATCTACGAAATGGAATAAGGAATTTTTAATGGGTGTCATTTTAAATGGGTGTGTCTTGTATAAGATGAACTAGCTAAGTGCTAAAAATCTCTATAATAAAGTTATTAAAAAAACTTTCTTTCTTTTATTACGTGATTTTCAGTGAATAGATTGCAGTGTATTTGACTAATTCTATATAATTTATGACAATTTTTCGTTTGGTGTGGAGGCCGTTTGCAAAACCAACAAAGTATGACACTAATGCCGCGGATACACTTGGATGACAAACTATGAGCATGGCCATTATTTGTATAATAGTTATGAATACTATACAACAACTATACAACAACTATACAACAACTATACAAAAACTATACAAGTGTGACTATTAATGTGCTCATAATATATTATACAAATAATACTCATGTTCATAGTTTGTCATACAAGTGTATCCGCGGCATAACTGTTATATCAAAGAAGAATATTAAGATGAAACCAGAGACCATAACTATTCAAATAGACCAAAGTAACAAATGTAAACAAATCAAGTTAAGCGATACAAACTATAGCTCTTCTATCATTGTATGTGATACAAAAACATCCATCCAAATTTACTTTCATTTATTTAAAATAATCATTGATCAAAAATTGTCCAATGTACAGTTTGAAATGATGGGTATATGATTGTTACTTCGGTCATTTGGACTGCCTAACATGATTGGTGCTCATTTTCTAAAGGCGGGGCTAGTCTAAAGTTAGGTACTCTACTCTGAAAACTGTGAAAGGGAATCTAGTATCATGCAGACAAAATGTCCAATGTAACACTCATTGATTATGTCATGAGAAAAATCGTCCAATGTAACATGTCTGATGTACAACTCGACTTGTCAAAACGTCCTATGTGGTTTTTTATATGTTGTAGCATGAAATTCAAAGTAAAATTGTGATTTCTTCTGAATTTCCAACGTTATTATACACTGACTAAATTAAAAATAGTATTGCAAAATGTATTGTTTTTAAACAGTTAAAATAATAATCTGTCGAACTTCGATTTTCTCAAAATGGTGGATATAATACATTGGTCTTGTTCCGTCCGTTCCCAGAAGGACTGAAGTGAGGTAGCACCCAATCCTATTTCTACGGCAACACTACGAACAGCGACGCTCAATACTATCGAATCCCTACCGTGCGAGGGAGAACAGTACAAAACGAGATCAGTATTAATACAACCTTCAAAGTGTGTACACTAGAGCAAAGAGCAATAAATGTAGTTAAGTTAGTGTAGCAAAAGTGTTCTTTCCATCGAACCGATCATCCGAAATACAGTCCACCACCAAAGATCCGTCCATCCAAGGGAATCGTCAAGGGCACTTCCAGTGTCATCCCAAGATCGTTTTCCACGGCGATTCCCTCCCGCATGTGTTATGGTTCATTGCATCGGAACATAATTTGGTCCTTCGAACCGGATCGGAATGCAGCCAAGGTTTAGCTGCCCACGAAGAGGATCGGTACCCAGTCCACGAGAGGTTTCCTGCCAGGAGAAAAGCCTAATCATCCCGAGCGAACACATCGTTGCTACACGAAACGAAACGAAAACGAGTTTCTCTTGCTGCTGGTGCTGTGTACACACATTCGTATGCGCCGCGTAGTGAGCGGTCCGCAATCGTCCGCCGTCGCAAAAGACAAAAAGTGAACGCCATTTTGCTAAATCCGAACGAGTCGAAAACAAGTGCGTGCGTGTACAAGATCATGTACAGTTGCGTCGTGTGTGCAACGTTGCCAATTTAGTGCCGAATCAATCAATCCTATTGAGAGTGCATCGTTGCCGAACTCATACCGAAACATTTAGTCCCGTCGCGTGTGCTACGTTGCCAGATCCGTGTCGAAACGATCAGTGCGTCGCACGTGTGTGTGAAAAACAGAACAAAAGTGAAAAAGTGAATTTGAAAACAAAAACGAAAATGCCGGTGGAACGTTCACCAGCGAAGCAAGTGGAAGAAGTGCAAATGGAGCAAGCGCAGAAAGTTCCAATTCTACCTCAAATGGAACTACCAGGTACTCCAACCGGGCAGCGTTCAAGATCCAATTCGTCCGGTTCATTTCATGGATTCAATTGGGAAGAGGGAATGGATTCGGAAACGATGCGGAAATTGAAAGGTTTGTTCCGCCAGAGAGGACAGATCGAACAGAAGTTAGTTAGGATTCAGTTGACCCTGCGAGACCAAAGGAGTATGAAGTTGGCCCAGCTGCAGTGTACGAAGGAAAAACTAGCAGCAATCTATACGGAGTTCAGCCACTTCCATAGTGACATCATGGCTTTGATTCCTGACGAAGCATCGGATGAGCAGGACGATATTTATTGTGCCTTCGAGGATCGTCACAGTGAATTGTCAAACCGCGTCCAGGAAATGATTAACATGGCCACTCCACGGCAACCTGCGAATTTTTCTGTTCCCCAACCACAAGTAATCATCCAGCAGCAACCACTGAAAGCTTAAGGCGATTTTCCTGGACGTGATGGCCCAATCAGGAGACTCGGAAGCGCTGAAATTATACCACCTGGATAAAGCGCTGGTTGAATCCGCAGCGGGTGCACTGGATACGAGGATAATCAACGAAGGAAATTATCAGCAAGCTTGGAAAGTGCTAACGGACCGTTATGAGAACAAGCGTGTGATTGTTGAATCGCACATCCGAGGGTTGCTGACCCTTAATAAGATGTCAAAAGCAACTTTCAAGGAACTGGACAGCCTACTGAGTGAAGCAATCGGACACGTCGAAATCCTTCGGTATCAGAAGGAAGAGCTGATCGGAATCTCCGAGCACATCGTGGTGTACCTCATCGTCACTGCCTTGGACGATTCGACGCGAATGGCCTGGGAGCGTACCCAGCAGAGAGGAGTGCTGCCAAAGTACGATCAGACGATTTCCTTCCTCAAGACCAGCTGTCAAATCCTGGAACAGTGTGAATCATCACGAGCTTTATCCCAACCAACGATTTCCAAACCCAAAGCTACACCAACAACAAGCAAGATGCCGTCGCTGAAGACCAATGCAGCCACCACAAGCTCCAGTACATACCAAGGTTCCTGCCAATTCTGTGGCAACGGACATTTCAATTTCCAGTGTGATGAGTTTAAGCAGCTGACAGCAACCCAAAAGGCAGAGAAAGTTCGAACGACAGGTTTGTGTTTCAACTGCCTCCGAAAGGGACACCAGTCAAAACAGTGTACGTCAAGCAAAACGTGTCGAAAATACAACAGAAGGCATCATACTCTTCTACACGATGACAACGAAAGGAACAGCAGCCAGAATGCCAAAGTAATCGTCGCTTCGCCAAAGCATACAGTCGTCACAAAACAACCAGCTATTGTTGAACCTCCTGTCTCGGTAGTGGATCAATCCGTGTCCACTACATGCTCAAGCAATCATGTCCAAGCATCGAAGACCGTTCTGCTTCTCACTGCTGTCGTTCAAGCAATAGATAAGCATAACCGAACACATCCATGCAGAATCCTACTTGACAGTGGGTCACAAGTGAATTTCGTCACCGAAGAAATGGCAAACCGCCTCGGTTCTCCTAAGATGCAAGCCAACGTCCCGATCACTGGAATCAATGCATTAAGAAGCCTAGCTCGTGATAAAGTTTTTGTAAAATTCCGATCGAGCTACGGCGACTTTCAAGCCAACATCGAGTGTCTGGTTACACCCAAGGTAACTGGAACTATTCCAAACAGCAGAATCGATTTCAGCACCTGGAAAATCCCTGACGGCATCCAACTCGCCGATCCACGTTTCTTCTGCCCCGAGAAGGTCGACATGCTGATCGGGGGAGAGCTTTTCTTCGACATTTTGAAGCCCGATCACCTGAGCCTAGGTGAAAATCTACCGCAACTTCGGGACACTCATCTTGGATGGGTGGTAGCCGGAGTGATAAACGAGCCGTACGTTTCGAACGCGGCTATCCAACACGTCAACTTTGCTTCGATCGATTACATCGAGGAATTGATGCACCAATTCTGGAAGATGGAGGAAGTACCAGCCGCTTCTCCATTTTCACCCGAACAGCTGTCCTGTGAAGCCCATTTCCTATCGACGTACGAGCGTGATTTGACCGGTAGGTTTGTTGTGAAGCTGCCATTCAAGGATAACGTGGACCAGTTGGATAACTACCGCTCTCTGGCGCTCAAGCGATTCCTCATGCTCGAAAAACGTTTGGAACGCAATCCCGAACTCAAGCAACAATACGTCGATTTCATCAAGGAGTACGAGGATCTCGGCCACTGCCGGGAAATCAAGGAAGCTGATGACCCACCGAATCTGAGTAGGTACTACCTGCCCCATCATGCGGTGCTGCGTCCTTCGAGCTCAACCACCAAGTGTCGAGTGGTATTCGACGCTAGCGCCAAGTCCGAACCATCCAAGCTGTCGCTCAACGAGGTGCTCCAAGTCGGCCCAGTAGTGCAGAATGGAATATTCTCAATTACGCTGCGATTCCGTAAGTACCCATATGCTTTTTCAGCCGATGTAGCCAAGATGTACCGTCAAGTGCTCACGGCGCTACTGGACAGGCGGTTCCTGCGATGCTTCTGGCGATCCGATCCATCGCATCCGTTGAGGGTACTTGAATTGAATACCGTTACGTACGGTACAGCTTGTGCACCATACCAAGCAACGAGGTGTTTGGTGCAGCTTGCCCAGGAAGAAGGTTCTGAGTATCCCATCGGTGCTCGGATCCTGATAGAAGACTTCTACGTCGACGATGCTCTATCTGGAGCCAACACCCTCGAAGATGCCATCGAATGCCAACGTCAGCTGAAAGCACTGCTTGCCAGAGGTGGATTTCATATCCACAAATGGTGC